ACATTAATATGTTCTTCACATTAATGCATATATAGGAAACTTTTGTTGCATTTTATCTCAGCAAGAACAAATCTGAGCATCTGAATCAATTAAGCTTTGTATTTGTATTCTTTACCAAATGAATCATTTTCAGATCCATAGTTTATGGACTTCCTGTTGCCAGATACATGTATGTTCTTTACATTATACATTAAAGATTTGTTATTTGTTATTGCAAATACATGTATAGGAAATTTCTGTAGCATTTTTCTCATAGCTTCTTTACATTTGATACCAAGTTTTGATATTTGTTAGCTTAACCATGTGCTTATCTACCTTCTGTTGTCTTCTTCAACATTGCTTGTGGTATGTATTTCTGTAAACCCAATAGAGACAGCAGGGGTATAATTTTTTTAGCAGTAGCTCACACTTAACCATGTGGTGCTACTCTGAGGTCTGAGAATCCTGCTATTACTTAATTTAGATTAAAACTTGTTCCAGTATTAAAAATGCTTGATACACAATTAAAGTCACTATTTTAAGTTTGATTGATTATTGACTGAATGAAGAAAAAAAAGTATTTTACTTAAGTTAGAATTTAGTATGTTTTGTATATAATACTGGATTTCTGGTTAAAAGGAAGTAATTAAAGATGACTGGAGCCACCTAGTTTTTACATCCAAGATAATAGGTAGAAATAAATTTATTTTCTGCTGCACTTTTGATTAGAAAACAAAATTGAATTAGTGAGGAATGAGTATTGGCATTTGTTGGTATAGAAATAGCGAGAAATTTGGAGGAAACTCTCTGTGACGAGCAACATTTTCTGTGCAAAATTGAGAAAGGGGTGTTCTTCATTCATACTATTTAGAAAATTCCAGAACCATAGAATACCCTTAAAAATGCCATTTTTCTATCAAAAAAGCTGCGGCACCATATGTGTTTTGCAGTTTTATTCACATCCAAAGGTGTTGATAATTCAGAATTTGACAGTTTTATCAACGGATCTTTTATTGTTTTTTTTGTAAAAACGCAGGACCCAAAAAGGCTACCATTGTTGGCTATGTAAGTAATTACTTCATTTTAACCTTAATGAAAGAAGGGAATACTATAATTTGGCCGCCAACAAAAATTGAAGAGCTACTAGAACTGAGATTTAATTTTTAGGTGACTTTTCAACACCTCCATTTTTATGATTGTGATGTTTTTTTATAGTATCTTTTTACAAATATATATATCCATATCACATGATTTCTATATCTGCTTGTCAGGTTTTTATGTTTGGTTGCCATGGTAATGTTCAATTATAAACTGATATGTTTGTTATCAAACTTATATTAGTGCAGATTTTGTCATAATGTAACTTATTGATGCTAGCAAAATCAAACAAAAAATTGGATATGTAATTTGCACTGAAGATAAAAGTAAATAACATTATCTCAATTCTGATAACTCAAAACATAGCTCTTGTCAGTTGAACAGCTGGTCATGTGGTATAAAATTCTCACAACTTATGTAATACATGTCCAAAGTTCAATTTCTTCATTCCAGTTTGTATTTTAAGTGTGGTGAAAATATGAAAAACATAAATCATGTACAATTTGCTAAATATTCATTTGCCATATATTTGAAAATCTTTTCACTTGCCAGATACTAGACATACTGTTAAATGTTGATTGTTCCAATTCATTTAATGTAATTTGCCTGGGATAAATATTACATAAATTTTGATATCAATAAGTAATGTTTTTCAAAGAACTTTTGATAAATTTCAGTGGAACTGTCAAATTGCAAGAAAAAGTAATGAAGATTAGATACATCTTTTTCGCAATAACCCAGCGTTTGGAGAACAAAATCATTTTGATTAAGATTGTTATATACTTAATTACTTTATGTAATTATGTTTCATATTTTACTGTTGAGCTTACTCAAAAAGCCATTCTAGATAATATGATCATCTTGTTTATTTCTTGTTAAAATCCTTTTTTTAATTTCAAAATAAAGAGAATATTTGGAACAATGTTATGATGAAATAAACATAACCTCCATTGACTTTTCAAATCAATGGGCCAGTTGCATATGTATATATTTGTATTCTGCATCAGCTGTTTTGTGTAGCAATCCTAGTGTATTGATTTTTCTGAGAGAATTCCAAAGTAAATACTTTTATACATATATTGTGAATGATATTTACATCTGTTGAAATTGACATATTAGAAAACGAAATCATCTGTAGTGAAATCATCGATTTGATTCTCAACAAATGAAAAATACATCAACATTTGTCCCTTTCAAATTTATATTAAAAAATCAGGAAATTATGAGAAATGCAGCTGTTTCAAAATAGAACCATAATTAGAAAATTTATAGATTTTCTTCTTGTAATTTTACTGTATTGTTTATTCACCATGTGAAGGAAAGTATGTTCATCCTCAGTTCACTTGCATTTTATACTGCACACATATGTTGAAATCATAGCATCTTTACTTAAAAAATGATATGGATATGCTTACCATATTTTATTTGAAACAGAACTATGCTTCACAAAAAAATTCAGGGGCATAAAATAATAGCTTTGTTTGTCTGTCCATTCTTCCATATATATTACGAAAACAAATGATTTCTGGAAAATAATTTGAATATCCTTTGCTTGATTGGAATGAAACTTATACAGATGGAAGATATAGGGAAGGGAAAGAAGCCTATTGATTTTGGGGAAAATGTGTAAAAGGTCAAGGTAACTTTCACTAAAAAAAGAAGTTTTTTATGTTTCTGCATGTTAACTTGCAGTTTTCCTTGCTCGATTGTTATACTCTGTTATACTAATATTGTAGATACAAGTGCTTTTCTAGGCTGATTCGTAATGCATGTTTTCCTCATTCTTTTTGTTTAGGGAAAACCTGGTGCTTAAGTTAGTCTTGATGAAATGTTTTGAAAAATACCTTAACCATATGAAAATCTGAGCACTGTCTGCCTTGTTAAGATCCTGGTGTTAATGGCAGGTTTTGGTAGTCTTCTCTATATTTGGGACAGTTTAGAGAGTCTTTTTGGGACAATTTAGAGAGTCTTTTCTATATTTGGGACAGTTTAGAGAGTCTTCTCTATATTTGGGACAATTTAGAGAGTCTTCTCAATATTTGGGACAGTTTAGAGAGTCTTCTCTATATTTGGGACAGTTTAGAGCTCATATTCTTTTACATACTTCATAACACTATGATAAACAGACCGACCTGGAGTTCAACAAAAGATATGCTTTACATGTTATCACTAATTTAATCAAAAGTAAGTCATGATCTGATTTTGTCTCAGGCTTTAAATTTTCACAGAACATGATGAAGTATTACAATGTATATAACCCATAAATAAATGTTATTGATAGTAATTGACAAATTATTTTATATAATGATCCTTGGATAAAAAGATAAATTAAGTTTAGAAATATATTTGGAAAATGATATTAAACTAAGAAATTAATTGCATGGCCTATCTGTCTGTAATGATAATTATAGATCACACATTTTAAAAGAGCATTTTTTTTAAGCTAAGATAATTGACACGTTTTAATGTTTATTAAACATGCCTTAATGCTTGGATTGGCATTTTTACACCTAGTAGAATTAATGTTTTTTGCAGGTTTTGATTTGCACACCTGTAAGAAATAAACTGGATTTACAAAAAAGTTATTGAAAGTGAGATGTTTAACTTTACCAACATTTTTTTCATGTGTGTTAATAAATGATGTCATTCAATCTAGTATGTGCTTGGTTCCTTATTGGGTTACAAAATTTAATATCAATTATTGGGTAATTTTTTTCTGTCAATGGTTAAAAATTTATCTATTGCATCTGAATTTATACTATACTTGCCCATATTGTTCTATAGCACAACAAATGTTTAGTTGCATTGTCTTTGACCTGTCCGTCAGCCCTGTTCTTGTCATCGCAACTTCTATGAAACCACACAACAGACTTTCATGGAGCTTTATAGATAATGTAGATGTGCATATCAACAGGAAATTAGGATTCAACTTTTTTCTAGGAGTATTTAAAATTGAGAATGGAAATGGGGAATGTGTCAAAGAGACAACAACCCAACCATAGAGCAGACAACAGCCTTTTTTTAACTTAGAATTTTGGCCTAAATACACTACTTCAACAGTTTGTCATTGCAACTCCTATGAATCCACACAACAGAATTTCATGAAACTTTGTTGTTAATTAGGACATACTATTAAAATGTGCATATCGACAGGAAATCATGGTTCAATTTTTTTTCTAGGAGTTATGCTCCTTTGAATTTTGGCCCAAATATACTGCTGCAATAGTTTGTCATCACAACTCCTCTGAAACACACTACAAAATTTCATGAAACTTTGTAGATATCATAATAAGGACATACTGTGTAAATGTGCAAGGAAATTATGATTCAATTTTTTTCTAGGAGTTAAGCCCCTTTAATCTTAGAATTTTGGCCTAGATATACCACTGCAACAGTTTGTCATCACAACTTCTCTGAAAGCATGAACAGAATTTTATGAAACTTTGTAGATAATGAGGACATATAATGTTGATGTGCATATCCAAAAAAATTTTATCATTTGACTTTTGTAGGAGTTATGAGTCTTTGAATGGTTTGCCCAGTGACCATTTGGGGGTGTGGGGTATGTGAGAGTGGTCACAAAGGTTCTTTAAGTTGTTTTATTTCTCCCCTTCTTGAATGAAATAGGCTGTTATTGTTTTTAGTTGAAATAAAACCACAGATGAAATGCATTGTGATAGATTTTTTTTTTCAATTTCATGAACAGAATGGTAATATGTAAGAATGTTTACATTACTAAATAAAGGATTATGGTAGGTAATTGAACTTATGATATCTCATGAGATTAAAAAAGGTTTTATTTGCTTATCCAGTGATAATTGAGAAAAGAAAAAGACATGGTGAAAGCAGAAGGAAATATTTCTTTTTTCTTTGTAGAATCTTGTTGAATCTTAAAATCCTAAATAGAATTGTGTATTTTTCAGATGGAGACTATCGTGGAAAAAATGCAGGATGAACAAACTGGTGTTCCTGTTCGAACTGTCAAAAGCTTCATGTCAAAAGTGCCCAGTGTTTTCACAGGTACAGTTAACTGGAATATAGATACCAGGAATTTAATTGTCTTGGTCAAAGCAAAGCAAAATACTTGGGGTACATCAGGAACCACAATTGTTTCATATGAGCTCTTATGTTAGCTATTGCTGAAACAGTCTTAAAAAAAACATGGTGTTTGTCTTCCACCAGAGACCAAAGGACGAGGATGTTAACAGCTATACCCCACTGTACAGCCATCAGCAATGAGCCAAGCCCATACCATATAGTATGATATAAAAGGCCCTGGTATGAGGGAATGTGAAACAATTCAAAAGAGAAAACCAATAGCCTGATTTATGTTAAAAGTAACTAACAAAAACAGACAGAAACCAATGACAGTAAATGAATACATGCTCCTGTCTGTAGGACAGGCAGAGAAAGAGTCAATGAATACATGCTCCTGTCTGTAGGACAGGCAGAGAAAGCCTTTTTTATACGTCTGTTTACGGGATGTATTATGGTATACCGTTGACCGCCTGTCCGTCTGTCCGTCCGTCTGTCTGTCCGTCCGTCCGTCATCAACATGTCGGACATAAACTAAAACAAAGCTTTAACCAATATGCATGAAACTTTGGTGAATTGTTTATATCTATTGACGTGAGCTCCCTTTCGTTTTTTATAAATTTCAGATTTACCGTTTCCGAGTTTTTGGGTTTTATTCATTAAAAAAGGGGGATTTTCCAGTTTTCGGACAATAACTAAAAAATGCTTTCAGCAGTTCTCATGAAACTTTGGTGAATTGTTTATATCTGTTGATGTAAGCTCCCTTTAGAATTTTATAAATTCAAGATTTTACATTTCTGAGTTATGGGGTTTTATTCATTAAAAAAGGGGGGATTTTCCAGTTTTGGGACAATAACTCAAAAATGCTTTCAGCAGTTCTCATGAAACTTTGGTGAATTATTTATAGCTATTGATGTAATCTCCATATTGATTTTCATAAATTTCAAATATGAAATTGAGAAGAAATTGAACTTTATTTGTTTATAGTCTGACAACAGATTTACTAAGTATTGCACAACAGCACAGTGTATTGCACAACATCAAGAAATCTTTAATTGAATATAAACTGTTCAGGGTTGGACCTCTGTGGGCGTATCCAGCTGCGCTCAGCGAAGCAGTTTGTTAAATTATACAAAAAAATCTGAAGTCACGTTTTAAATTCGTTAAATTCTTTAAAGCATTAAGTGCATTAATTATCTAAAGCAGGTCTAAAATAGTGATGTGTGAGTCTATCTGTCCATTATTTTTCTTCCAATTATCAATGCTGTTGTTTAAAATAGTTTTATTTAAAGACAAAAACAATTGACAGTACCATTTATACCACCCAAAGTATTTAAAAGAACGGATATCCACAAAATGTATGAGAAAAATTCCAAATCTAAAGTTGGTACAACCTAACTTAAAATAATGTTTGTATTGCTTCTCTCAGTAGGTCCTTTTTTTTTTTTTTTCTACATAGTTGATATGGATTGGTAACTTTGCCACAAAAGGAGTAATGACATTGGAAGCTAAACATGTCAATATGCCTTCTGAAGGTTAATAAGTCCTCCAGTTGGATGATCTCGTGTGACAGTTGCATGTAAATAGGAGGACATTAACTTTTATAACAGCAGGCGGATTAGTTTAATCAATGGCAAACTAAAGTACATGAGAAGGGAGTAAACATCATTTTCATTTCATAATAAGAGTTGTTTACATTTATTTTTAAGAATTCAAGGTTTAACAGCCATCACAGCTTTGAAATAAGAAGCAGCTAATAAACCTATAGATTGACATTATAAAATAATTATCACTAGTGCAGCCAGATATCTTCCTTCAGCACTGTTCTGCCATTACATTTGTTGATAAATTTTACAAAACCAGATAAACTAAATTGTTAATATTATTTTGCAGGTGTTGATTTGGTGGCCTGGATGATGAAAAATGTAGATGTGGAAGATCAAGGTAGGTCTCCAGAAACATATGGAGAAAATACTAAAAAAAAATTCCTTTACTCTATTTCCTGAAATCTGCGAGTCAGTTACTAAAATAATGCTATGGTATACGTGAATGGCTTCTATAGAGATAGTCTCAAATATAGACTTTGGCCATCTTATTATAATATGCATTTTGTAAGTGTCCTATATTTAAACTTACGGGAAAAAACATTGGTGTCCATGGTAGACTAGATAAAAGGTAGGGTTTCTCAATCAGTTCAAAGAATCATTTATTCTTTGACCCCTAGTACCCACTTTAGGTTAACTTTACAGTACTTCTGACTTTTAACATAGATCAATTTTCTCTTTATCACCCTCTTTCATCATGTTTTCCTGTCCAGTCTGTAAATTTTTCTTGTTCAACTTTCTTTTTGACTGACTAGGCATATGATGGAAGGAGGTATGTGATATTGAACATTCTTTTAAAAAAGATATTACTGCTTTCTCTTGGAAGTCACCTTGAAAGTACAGTCATAAACAACTCGTAAAAATCTGGAAATGAAAGTGAGCGAATTAAAGAAGATATTATCTAACTTTAATTGACAATGATATCTTAAACAGAAGTAAGATCATTAGTATGCTATTAATATTACATTTATATATATTCTTGGCTAAAAAAATGATCTTCCTATTTCTTTATATATTAATTTAAGCTCAACATAGAAACAACTGCTAGTTTTATTATGTTATGAGGTCATTTATTTCATTTGAAACAGCTCAAATATGTTTCATGGTTTTAGCAAATTGTAATGTATTCAGAAAGATCCACCATTATACAACCTAAGAAATTTCTTTTTTGACAAAATATTGATAGTTTTTTATGAAAACGATATTACATAAAAAAAGGTCTAGTACAAATAGATGTATTTTGTTATGAATCTCTTCCCCATGGCTAAGGTAATTTACACCCAATAGATTTTTGTTTGTGTGAAATACTAATATTCCCGAAGAATTTCAGTACCATTAAGTATCTTTGGTATATTACACAAGAACAGGCTTTTATCCTCTGTATTATGTAGTCAGTAGTGTAGGAGATTGATTTTTTGTGCTTCAGAGGTATTTCAAAAGTAAGATTACTAAAACTGTACATAAATTCTGAAAATAGCTTTTCCTACTGCATAATGAAATAAATCATTGCAATCAATCAGAGCTGATTAGAATAATTGCTTTCATCAGGCAATATATTGTTATAACATGTGTTTTATGCATACATGTGTTAATTGGTGAAATTTATTAGATTCATAACTTGTTGCATGGTTAGAATTGTGTAAATTAAATCCTATTGATAAAACCTGAATAAAATGATACCTTGTAACCACAATTATTCCTGTATATTATTGCTGATCAATTTGAGCATGTTGATATAATGCAGTATTGTTTCTACAGCAAATCCAGGATATCAGTCATAGAATTCCCTTTTTACCAATATTTTTAATTGACTAGTAATATGTATATTGATATATCAGTGTTTAGGAGCAAGCTAAGCATCAAGTGCCTTCCTGTTTTGTTATAGTGGTTTTAGTAGATAATGAGCATTAACGAAGAAAACAAATCTTCTTTTGCTGTTTTTATCTTTAAATTTGATAGAAATAGATCTCCCAATGTCTTTAGGTTTTTGTGTCATTGGGTTGCATTATATCAGAATTAGATTAGTGGTCTAAACTGTAAAAAGATAGGAGTAATGGCTGAAACAATTGGAGAACTTTAATCTGTTTAAGTAAAACATCTGTTTAAGTAAAACATCTGTTTTATGAGTAAAACAATTTTTAATCCCATGTGGACTAAGTTAAGACAGTTTAACTATTTTGTGTTTTTATGCCCCCGCCTTAGCGGAGGGGGCATTAAGTTTTACCCTTGTCCGTATGTACGTATGTCCTTCCATATGTCCGTACATCCCAAAATTGGCTTCCGTTCTCTAACTTGAGTTTGCCTCAACCAAATGTTATGAAACTTATACACAATGCTTATTACCACAAAACACAGATCAAGTTTGAATTTTGGTTGCGTCACTTAAACCGTTCTAGAGTTATTCCCCTTTATAAATGGAAAAATTGCAAAATTTTTAGTTTCCGTTCTCTAACTTAAGTTTGCCTCAACCAAATGTTATGAAACTTATACACAATGCTTATTACCACAAAACACAGATCAAGTTTGAATTTTGGTGAAGTCACTTTAACCGTTCTAGAGTTATGCACCTTTATAAATGGAAAAATTGCTAAATTTTTATCTTCTTCTAAATATCAAGTAATTTTTAAAATTGGAGTTATCTTCCTTTGTCCATGATTATAGTTGAATCAACTACAATCAATGCTTTATACAATGGAATGTTTAATTTTGACTTCCACTGATAAAACACAGATCAAGTTGAATATGGGTAGTGTCACTTTAACCATTATTGAGTTATGCCCCTTTATAAATCGAAAGATTGCAAAATTTTTAGTTTCCATTCTGTAACTTAAGTTTGCCCCAACCAAACATTATGAAACCTATACACAATATTCATTACCACAAAACTAAGATCAAGTACAAATTTTTTGTTTCTGTTTTCTAACTTTAGTTTGCCTCAACCAAATGTTATGAAACTTATACACAATGCTTATTACTACATAATACAGATTAAGTACGAAATTTGGTGGCGACACTTTTACCATTCTTGAGTTATGTCCCTTTTTAAACATAAAAATTGCTGAATTTTTTAGTTTGTCTCAACCAAATGTTATAAAACTTATACACAACCGTTCTAGAGTAATGTGTGTTTACAAATAGAAAAATTGCTGAATTTTTAGTTTCTGCTCTCTACTTAAGTTAGCCTCAACCAAATGTTATAAAACTTATACACAACCGTTCTAGAGTTATGCGTGTTTACAAATAGAAAAATTGCTGAATTTTTAGTTTCTGCTCTCTTCTTAAGTTGGCCTCAACCAAATGTTATGAGACTTACACACAATGCTTATTACCACAAAACTCAAATCAAGTTCAAATTTGGGTAGCGTCACTTTTACCGTTCTTCAGTTATGTCCCTTTATAACTATATGATATACAAGTGGGGGCATCATCTGTGTCCGCATGTGGACACTATCCACATTTTTTTATATTTAAATTATTTGAATCAAGTTTTACCATTGTGTGTGTCCCTTAATATGAAAGGATATTTACATAATGTTGGGTTTCCTTTAATTCCAGAGTATTGGAACTTTGAGCATGTCACATATGCATTATGACTTAGATGTTCTTCAAAAAATAAAGTTCAATCAGTGGTAAAGACTTTAAATATAAAATCTGAATTTTGATAATTTTACAATTGTTATTCAACATTTTTCGAATATTTGGATCATCAAAATACTTGTATAAGCAATTATTCTTGTAACTTGGGCCCCAATTTTGGTTTTTATGCCCCTGCTGCAAGGCAAAGGGGGCATTAAGTGTTACCCTAGACCGTTTGTCTTTCTGTCTTTCTGTCTTTCCATCCTGACTTTTTGTCCGTCCGTCCGTCCGTCCATCCTATTTTCGTTTGAAAAGCAAGCTTGAACGGGGGCATTTGTGTCCTCAGACACATTCTTCTTTTAGCTTTCACTTATATGCAGACACATGAAATTTAAAAAAAAATCTCTTTTATTATTTCAATCCTGTTACTATTAAATTTTCAGACTTTTATTTTTAAACTAATGGAAACAGGAATATCAAGCAATCATTGCACAGCTGTTTATTTTTTTTATATTTTTGAATATCAGATGTATACTTTCTTAAATTTGCCTTTCATTGACATAGCTGTCAATCTCATTGCTGACCTTTTGTATTGAATTTTTGGATCAATAGTAATTTTGCTTCTGTATCAATATTGTTTCCTTAGACAAATGTCTAGGACTCCATTATGATAGGATAATCACAACTCTGTCCATCATCAGCAGAATTGTGAAACGTCATATCGATGGAGGTGTCTAACAGACTTTATTGACGTTTTTGCATTGATAATTCTCTTGTCAAACCTATTTGAAACACTTGATAACACACCGTAATGACAGAATATAATAGACCAATGGTGGATGACAAAAAGATTAATTCACTTGGGCGTATGTCCATATTTAAGATCCATTGGACAGGATGTAGCAGTTTTGGGCCAATTAAGGAATAGACTAAGGATGAAAATGATAAAGATAATCATGCTTTCAATATTTATCAGATATAGGTCTTGGGGAAAAATAACAATAAGGAATTATTTTTTCCTCCCTTAAAATATTGATGTAAGAAAATTTTTAAATTTGAGACAAAAAGTAAAACATTGATCAATTGTTAGTGTTTAACACCACTTTCAGCACTATTAGCTTTATTGTGGCTGTCATTTTTTATTATACGACCGCAAATTCAATACCACAAAAGGAAGGTTGGGATTGATTTTGGGGGGTATGGTACCAACAGTTTAGGAATTAGGGGCCAAAAACAAGCATTTTTGTTGTTTCCGGACAATAACTTGTGTGTAAGTGTATGGATCTTTCTGAAATTGTACCACAAGGTTCCATATCACGAAAGGAAGGTTGAGATTGAGTTTGGGGGTAATTGCCCTAAACGTTTTAGAATTAGGGGCCAAAAACAAGCATTTTTCTAGTTTCCAGACAATAACTTGTGTTAATGTGTATGGATCTCTCTGAAATTGTAATGCAAGGTATCATACCACAAATGGAAGGCTGGGATTGAGTTTGGGGGTATTTGCCCCTAACGCTCAGGAATTGGGGGCCAAAAAGGGTAAAAAACAAGAATTTTTCTAGTTTCCTGACAATAACTTGTGTTTAAGTGTATGGATCTTTTTGAAAGTGTACTGCAAGGTACCATACCACAAAGGGAAAGCTGGGATTGAGTTTGGGGGTAATTACTAAAAGGGGGGTAAAAAAATATTAGGGGGGGGGGATTTTTTTTTCATAATTTTATGGGTTATTTTTCTTAAAATTGTCCATTTTTGCATTTATTATTTCAGATTTATATTTAAAAGCAAAAAATACTGATATGGCAGGAGATATACACCAAACATGATGTGTAAATTATTATATGAAGTATATATACCGGTATAGTATTGTGCAATAGCAAGAAATCTTCAATTGCATAGTATTGCGCAATAGCATAATATTGCACAATAGCAAGAAATCTTCAATTGCACAGTATTGCGCAATAGCAAGAAATCTTCAATTGCACAGTATTGCGCAATAGCAAGAAATCGTCAATTGCACAGTATTGCAGAATAGCAAGAAATATCCAATTGCACAGTATTGCGCAATAGCACAATAGTGCCCAATAGCCAGAAATCTTCATTTGCATAGTATTGCACAATAGCAAGAAATATCAAATTGCACAGTATTGTGCAATTGCAAGAAATCTTCAATTGAAAATTAATACAAATATTTCAACCCATTTCAAATTTTTAAGATTTTTCACCACATTTATTTTGTGTCAGAAACCTATATTATGTAAAAAATTTGATCACAATCCAAATTCAGACAGTATCAAGCTTGAATATTGTGTCCAAACTTGCACCAACTGTTCAGGGTTCGACCTCAGCGGTCGTATCAAGCTGCGCTCAGCGAAGCATTTTATTGTTGGAGGAAGCCAGGGTGGCTGCAGAGAACTACTGACTTTCTGTAGGAAAACTGGCAATTCTAGTAAGTTCAGATTTGAGTCGAGCGCACCTGCCATGTGCTGGATTTGAACTCACAGCTTCAATGTTGACAAGCTAGTGCTACTGTAGTTCGACTACTTAGACCACTCAGCCACTGAGGCCCCTTAATTATCAAACAAGATGGTTATCTAATACATGAAGTTCAAAGAGGTCCTGATGGTAAATGTTGGTTTGTCTCAATTTACTCTTCTTTTTTAGGAAATAAACCAAGGTGAAACCTTTTCCTATTATTTCAACTTTCAATACCACTACCTTGAGTACTCAGGATACTGTAGCTATCATAATTGAAGCATTCCCTGTTTGCATGGTTTTACAATTTCTATTCCCCTATTAAGTGGCAAGGGTATTTAGTGTTTCCTATTTCCATCTTTCTGTCCTGTCTGTCTACCTGAAATCAAACAGTTGTCTGATTTTTTTTAGTGTTATGCCTGCAGATATTGGTCTGATTTTGGTATGTTGGTGTAAAATGATGACTTACAGACCTTGTTTATGTTTCTTTCTGGTTGACTGACTTTGCAAGAATGTGTCCTTTGCATATACATTGTTTTGTAATTGTCTGCAATAGGGAGCTGGTTTATTTTTGTAAATTTGTGTATAATGATGATTGACAGATTGAGTTTGTGTTTTGTTCTGTAATACTGACTTTTCATAGAAATGCATACAGACAGAGTGGTCAAAATAGTTCATCTACTGTATCACTAGCCTTTCAACACTGTGGTTGTGAGTTTGAACCTGGCAAGTGGCAGGCAAGTTTGACTCTTATCTTAGTTGAGTTGGATTGTCAGTTTACCTACAGAAAGTCAGTGGTTCTCTTTAGGCACTCCGACATCCTCCACCAATAAAAACTGGCCACCACAATATAGCCAATAGTGCTGAAAGTGGCATTAAACACCAATAATCAATCAATTTATTTCTGGTTTCAAACATAATACAGAATAAGTCAATAGACATTTCACTGGCTATTTAATTTTGTTGATTAGATAACCAAGAGATTTTGTACCCCCCTAAGTAATAGCACTGTCACACTTTAGTCCTTGAGTTACAAGTCAAAGAAACCAATCGACTGATAAACCTAGTTGATGTTTTTATTTCAGTCTTATTACGTAGTTGTGTTATTGTGAATATGTTTGATTCCCAGTAGAGTATGCAGTAACAAAAACTTAATAAGATTCTGTGTGAATGAAATTAATTTTCTGTTAAATTTTTTAAAATAGAATGTAAATATGAAAATCTTTAGACATGTTATTATATAATGTACTGGTAACAGTTTTATTGTCCCAAAGTCAGTCTATGTGCGTCAGTTAAAATCATTTCTGTCAGCTCATACATTCATTGTTCTGAAGAAAATAAGAGATTGAATTGATTTTTTTTTTTTGGTGAAATGCATTTTACTTAGTAACAAAGCAAATATATGTAAATATAAAAATAATTGATGAAACAAGTAGTGTAAATGTAATCAAAGATAAATGAGAAATTTTACTGAAGGGTGCATCTTACACAAATGTTTTGTTGCATTCTCAGTTTTTGATCTGTTTACTGTCAGATATTCATTTTAATTTCATGTTTTAGGATTTCAGGTTGATTTTCTTATGAGTAAAGGGAGATGTGGGGTTAACTTCGATGAGACAATCATGCAACCACAAAAAATGAACAGAAATATGAACATTACTTCACTGATACATGATTTTTTGTTGTCTTAATTGTTTACTGTTTTCATTTAGAGTAAATAAAGAAAGTAGATTTGGTATACCTGCCAACGAGACAACAATCCTTATAAGTCCAAATGGTGTGGATTTAAATAACTATAGGTCACATTGACAGCCTCCATCAATGATGAAAACCCATACTGTATAGTCAGCTATAAAAGGCCCCAACATGACAAAATGTGAATCAATTCAAATGAAAAAAACAATTGCATGCTTTATAACAAAACAATAAACAAAAAACAAATATGACAGACAGCAAGCAATGAAAACTACTGAATAACAGGCTCCTGTGCCTGTTCCCAATCAAGAACCTCTTCATTGGTTGGTTTGCCTAAACCATTATTCGTATCATTAGCCTTTAGGAAATTTAGTGATGATGACAGTTCTTTGATACTTGTAGTCTCTGATAAATGTAGTCACAATTTTCCTATACCAGGGGCGGTTTAGAGCTTACATCCAAAGACTCCAAGCTCAATTTTAAGAAATCTTTAATTAGATTCTATTGGCCTGTTGATATGATTTTTACATGTCCGTAAGCAATTTTACACACCTGGGCTGGTCGGCCTGTGTTTAAGCATGATAACTGTGTGTACTATATATCTGTCATGACTTTTTCAGGGCATATTTACTATGATAGGGGTAATTGTGTATTACACATGTATATATCTGTCATGTCTTGAGTATTGTTTTTTTCCTTTTCAGTTGAGGCCCTACATCTAGCCTCTTTAATGGCTGCTCATGGATATTTCTTCCCAATAGATGATCATGTTTTAACTGTAAAGAATGACAACACATACTACAGATTTCAGGTAATAGCTGTATAAAATTTTGTACCTGAGGTACTTGCATATTTGTTTTTCATTCTAGAGACTAGTCTAACTGCATACAAAGGCAGATAATATCGTTGATATTTTTATGTACTCATTGAAGATGCATGTTTCATAGTATACCCTTATCAGTCTGTCTGTTTGTCCATCATGTTTTACAGTAAATCAAGTTTGCTTTACAAAATTTTTATACAATATTTGGTTTATCAAAGACTTCCTTTTTATTTTGAAGTTCAAGAGTTTTGAGACTGTACAACTCATGATCACTCAAATGGGTTGAAAATTTTACGCTGACCTTTAAATGACTTTCTGTTAAGTATATGTTTTTTTTGGTTTTCTGTCTCATTGAGATCTGCTCTGCATTTCCTTTTATAAACGGATATTTTATAGTCGAAAGAATTGGAATCTTGCTATCTCTCACGTATCATTGCTTTATTTATGTAATATGGCCCCAGCTATTTGACAACTTTTTATGCACCCGCTGTAGCAGAGGGGGCATTAAGTTTTACCCTTGTCCGTCTGTACATACGTCCCAAAATTGGTTTCCGTTCTCTAACTTTAGTTTTCATCAACCAAATGTTATGAAACTTATCCACAATGCTTATTAACCACAAAACACAGATCGAGTTTGAATTTTGGTGGCGTCACTTCTACTGTTCTAGAGTTATGCCCCTTTAAAAATAGAAAAATTGCTGAATTTTTTCGTTTCTGTTCTCTAATTTAAGTTTACGTCAACTAAATGTTATGAAACTTATAAGCAATGCTTATTACTACAAAACTCAGATCAAGTTCAAATTTGAGTAGTGTCACTTTTACAGTTCTCGAGTTATGGCCCTTTGTAACGTTATATGCAAGCGGGGGCATCATCTCTGTCCCATGGACACATTCCCCATTCATTTATGCAACTTATCAGCATGACAGGTATTTAGAAATGATGAAAATATTGAATGTTTGTTCAGTATGTCTCTTGAACAGTGTTTTGATAAGATAAATAAGCACCATGTTTGACAATGGATCTGAATCATTAGATTAATAACAACAAAAGCACACCTCCCTACATAATATTTTTGGAAATCATACAATATTTCATAAATCGTAAGTTTCATATAAATGAAAATTTTTATTTTGAAGAAGGAGATTGAAATCACAGTTGAAGTGTAGACTGCTTATATCGGCGGGATAATAATGACTTTATAGGGAGAAAATACTTATAAAATTGAGAATGGAAATGGGGAATGTGTCAAAGAGACAACAACCCGACCATAGAACAGACAACAGCAGAAGGTCACCAACAGGTCTTCAATGTTAAGGCAGTTAAGGTGGCAAATTTGTGTGTTATTACAATGGCAACTGTTGTTTTGAATTATCTATGTCTGAAACTTAAACCTTAAAGTATCATATTTAATTATGTTTTATCAAACTTACAAAGTGCTTCTGCAATATAACAGGTCAGCCAAACAATGAACAAGATGTAGAACTGGAAATCTCCCAATTTATGCAAACTGTCCACAAGATTCCAATCCTTTTTACTATCAAAATCCCTGCTTTTGAGTATTTTAAAATTAAAACATGGTAATTCACACGATTTCAATGGATTTCATAAACATAAGATAGATAGCAATTATTAATTATCTCAGTGAAACCTATGACCATATACTTTTATGTCATCTTCTTCTTTTAAAAATAAGGAGATGTGGTATGATTGAATGTTAAAGGTAAAAAGTAGAGCTCAATCATTTTTTTCAGGTTTATTTTTTAATTATAATTGCCTCTCCGAAAATATAAATGACTTCCATATTTATTTGTGGATTGAACTTCTTTTGTTTTCAATCGTGATGATCAATGTGATTTTAAAAGATTGTTAATAAAGTTTAGTATAACTTTTTTTTTCATTGAATGACATTTGATATTTTTTAATGTTCAAATTCATCCTTCAGATATTTAAAAAAACAACAATGGATTATGTGAATTGAGAAATTGAAATGGCACACTTGCACACTCACTTACTTTGGAATTTAATGTTTATGATATGTTATTATCAGATATTGAAATAAATATCAAATTATGCATTAGGAAACAATTGCGTTAATGCTATTGTCATCATATAGGGGTGTTATTAATCATTGTAATTGCCATTGTGCTAAATGATATTTAAAATAATGGAAAAAAAAAGAATGCCCTTTCTGTAAATATTAATTATACATATATTTATTACAAAGAATATAAGAAAATTAACAAATACAGATAAATCAGAACAAAAAATTATATTTAATAAATGTGTGGATGTTGTGTGTGAGGACTTGGAACACTCTTGAGTGTCTACCTTTATGTTGTTTCATAAACATACTGCTGTAGATATTCACACATGAACAGGTATTACAACTTGAAGTAGGAAATAAATAGGGATTGATCGCTCACAAACATGTTTTACCCTGCCACATATGTGCCTGTCAGGAGCATGCAATTTAGAGGTTGTCTTTGATTTATGTCTGTCACATTTGTTTTTCAGTAATTATTTTATTATAAAACAGGACGTTGGTTTTCATTTGTTTTCACATTTCAATTGTTCAATTATTTAACATTTTGGGACTTTTGTCATGTCCATGACCTTTTATAGCTCTTACTATACAGTATGAGTTTTGCTCATTGTTGAAGACCATAGGGTGACCTATAGTTGATTAAATCCACATCATTTGGATACTGGTGGATAGTTGTCTAATTGGCAATCATATCACATCTTTTTATTTTTATAAATAGTTGTTCTAATGTATACTGAATTTGTAGACCAGAGACATGGATGCTGATTAAGTACTGATGTAAATTGTAAATTTAGCCTGTGGAATTGTTTTGATATCCATATGAATTATTGCAATCTTTAGCTTGAGGGATGTGTTTGATGATTATTTATAATTATTAGTATTTAATGGAAATAATAGCAGTCCATGATGATTAAATATTGATTTAAATATCGGATATGTCAAATAGAATGTAGCAACAGATTTGCCAAGGACAGCTGACATTAAGATTTCTTCTTGAATCAGGTCCAAACAGATTTAAACTTATAATCCTTGTTTCTCAACTTTGCCATAGATGTGCTATGTATCATATTGAAATTAGTTTTACAATCTATATCAATGACAATCACAAATGTAACAGTAAGCTTTTCCTACCTTTAAACATCTTGGTCCAGTTGAAGGATACTGTGAGTTCACAAAGGGTCAGTACTGGCTACTGCATTGCTGCCTGGTATCCTGACCCAATCTAATACTTTGTAGATAGGATTGTCAAGCAGGGAGCCATGATTCCAGGCTAAATACTGGCCAGAAATTTAGAAGAATTTTGAGTAAAGAAAGGGCTTTAAGATAATCATCAAACATTTGTTGAACAAAAAGATCTAAAGTATGGAATTTAGTTAGGCCTATGTTTAAATATGTGTCGTAGACCAGCCTTAATTGTTTAAGAAGCAGCAGTCTGTGCAGTATGGCCATTTTTTAAAAGCCCCTCCAACAGAAACACCTGGGTTAATATCTCTTAATGCTGTTCAAATTGAGGAACTTTAGTACGTAAACAAAAAGTAAAATAACAAAAATACTGAACTCCAAGGAAAATAATTAAGATGATAAACAACATCAGTACCTAGAATCTATACTTCAAGACCATCATGTATTATTTGTGAAGTTGATACAGAATATTTATCAACAAGGTCTTGGTATCTTCCAATCAACTTTTTGAGAAAAAGGACGAGACGTTCTTCAACATAACCCTGGTTCATCAACTTTCTACTCAGATACTGGTGATGTTTTAGAAAGTATAAGTAGCAGCTGCATGCTCTTCAAACCTCAATGAGTTGGGAAATGTATATCCCATATGCAGGGGAAGTTGCTGCTAAGGTGGGGGAAATTTATAATTTCAAAATAAAAATTGTCTCTTTGTCATAGATTCTGGTACTGAGATGACCGCTTATGTTAAATTTAAGGATAAGTCTAAAAATGAGGCGGAGGAAGCAGTCAGTGTTTGTTGTTTCTCTAATTTCTAGTTCTGGAGGATTTATTAATAGAACCCAATCAGAAAAGTTTGGATTGTTAATGGAAAGAACATCGTCAATATATCTGAATGTGAAATTAAAAAAATCTCTGTGCAGTGATATTGGACATTCAATTTTTAACAAGTGACTAAACTTAACCATTTGTGCAGATTTAAAGAGCAGATGACCTTAGAATAAAGGTGTAAAAACTGTGGAGTTATTAATGTATGCACAAAGAACTAAATTTTCAGAAAACTTAATGTGCCATAAAAAGGAATTTTTACTTTGAGAAGCCCTATCACAAAGGGCTTTTCGGGATATGCTTAATTATTGAAAAGATAATCACACTTTGTACGTCGAAAATTTAACCAAATATGTGAAATTTCTCAGCTTCTAAACAAGCCATGATATTTATCCAAGTTCATGATATGGGCAGAGAAATTGAGGAAGAAGCTACCATTACCGCCTACCTGAAATGAATTGCAAATATTGACAGACTTGTGTTAGCATTATGTTTTCTTGTCTGTGCATTCATCTGTCCACGTTAAATTTAGTGGTTAAAGTAGTTTTAGTTTACAATGAAGTTTTGGTTACATAGAAATGTGATACATTTGTAGTGTGAATTAAGTACATTCTCTAGTTGAAGTTTTTGGTGAAGGTAGTTTACCATGAAGTCACATCAACTTGAAACTTAGTACACATGTTCACCGAGAGGTAAACTCTAAAAATTATATGCAAATTATGATTTTTAGCCTAATTTCATGATTCACTTGTAAATATGAACATATGATAGTGTGAGCAGGACACATTTTCTTGTTTAACATACTTTAGTTTTTTGTAGTTAAGAAATATTATATAAACAAAGAGCTTTATATAACAGTCCTATGATAGATGGCTTCTTAATAAAAATGACTTGGGCTTTTGGTCTAATGTTGAATGACTCACTATGACTTTGATT